CTTTCTCCACACCATCCCTCTCCCATTGAACATTGGGGAGGCTCTAATTGTATTACAACTGTAGCGTATAGCACCGACGAGGTTTGATGGGAAGTGGAGATCTATCTGCTTCCCGGTGAGGTGAGAGCACCACCAACCAATGGCTACACAATCGCCATGGCGATGTCACTTCAGCTGCTCCCCAACACCTTGCCTCCATTCCTCCCCGGGCTTCCTTCTCTATTACACGAAACGGCGTCCTACTGTACCGTGGGCTTCCAGTTTCAAATCTAAATCATCATCACCATCATCTTCTTCTTCTTCATATTCCTGTGCTGCTAATACTTTTTCAAGTAATGTTGAAAAGAGATTGAGAAGGAAGTCAGTGGGATCAATTACTGTTGGTAATGATTCGGACGATAATGAAGTTACTGATTCTTCCCTGAATGGAAATGACAGTTTAATTAACGGCAAATTTTCGACATTCAAATCGTTGTTTGGGAAGCGAGCTCTGTGGCGAAGAATATTGTTCGCCTCGCGGAAAGTGAGGAGCATAATTTTGCTCAATGTCATAACAATTATCTATGGTAAGTGTCTCGATTCTGATTTATCTTTTTGTTTTGAGATTCTGCTGAAGTTACAGTTTCTCTCTCAATTGGTTTAAACTGATAAAATGTTTTCATTCCTGTAATAGAATGAGAAAAAATAGTTGAAAGATTCTTGAACAACATCGACGCCTCATCTAAGAAGCAAGCGTAATGTGCTATTCTTTAGAAGTGTCACCATAAATTTTTTGAGCTAAATATGACGTAGCTAAAAATGGTGGAGTTTTACTGTAACTTCGCTGTTCAACTGGTGATTAGTATTTGGTATTTACCAGGAACATACTATTGGTGAACATCCATTAAAGATTTCGTAGTATTGGTGGAGGTACTCATGTGAAATAATTTCAGTTGAGGGTGTCGTGATTCTATTCGGTATAGAGTGAAATCTCCCTACAAATGATTCCACAATAAAAGTTCCACACATATTTTGGTTGCAGCAAGTAACATCCCAGTTGTCAAAGAAGTGGAAGCTATTACGGATCCCAAGGCCTTCACAGTTGTTCGATTTTGTGTAGCTGCCATTCCATTTATACCCTTCGTGGTCCAGGCCAAGGTCGACGCCCGTACTCGTAATGCAGGGATAGAGTTGGGATTTTGGGTCAGCTTAGGATACATATTGCAAGCCCTCGGGCTCCTCACATCCGATGCCGGGCGGGCATCCTTCCTTTCCATGTTCACTGTATGAACAACTACCTTGAGATAAAGGCAGTGTTTTTAAAACCGTCTAATGTTTTAATTCATGCTAATTTGAGTAATCCTGATCAGGTAATTGTTGTGCCCTTGATTGATGGCTTGCTCGGGTCTGCAGTCCCTACCCGTACCTGGTTTGGAGCTCTTATGTCCATTGTTGGGGTTGCTATGTTGGAGTCCAGTGGGTCACCTCCGTGTGTATGTCTCTTTTTATTCCCGTAGAAGTTTGTATTGTTTTTTACCTTGATCTAAAATTATCTGAAATGTACTTAGTTTCTGCACCTAAAAAAAATCACCTGTTCTGTTATGGCCTTTATTTACAGATTGGGGACTTGTTGAACTTTCTAAGTGCAGTGTCCTTTGGGATTCATATGCTGAGAACTGAACATATTTCTAGAAGTACAAAAAGCGAAAATTTCTTACCGCTCCTCGGATATGAGGTTAGTTCGTGCCTCAATGTTGGTATTCTGCCTTTATGTTTTTCTCAGTAAATTGTCATGCTAGTTGGACTGTATGAATTTGTTTGTTAGGTTTGTGTTGTTGCCCTTCTATCAACTGCTTGGTACTTTATGGAAGGCTGGTTTGGTGGTCATATCCAAGAATCTGATCCGTTTTCTTGGACATTTGCAACGGTCTTGAACTCGATTTCTTCATTTCCTTGGGTACCTGCACTTTATACTGGGATTTTCTCAACGGGCTTGTGCTTATGGGTAGAGGTATAACTCTAAACCTGCTGAAGGGCTTTCGGAAAGTCGTTCATTATTTGGTTCTTAATTATTCAGTCTCATACTTAGTCTGATTGAGAAAAAATACTGCGCAGATGACGGCGATGTGTGATATATCCGCCACAGAAACTGCAATAATCTATGGGTTGGAACCAGTATGGGGTGCTGGATTTGCTTGGGTTTTACTGGGTGAGAGGTGGGGTCTCAGTGGATGGATTGGAGCTGCTCTCGTGCTTGGTACATACTTTTCTTTTCAGTCAATCCAGATATATTATTATCCATCAAAATCGGCAAATTATGTCTATGTTTACTGCTTTATTTTAAATTTCTTTAACTATGAGCTTGCAACTCAAGCGGGTACATCTCCCTGTTTATAAGGGTGGCGTGGAATGGTTGATACAGGGTTCGATCCTTTTACCTTGCAGTTTATTAGAAATTTTGACTTCCCTCCCGCCAATCCCCCGTAACTATTAAAAATGCTGCTTTTTTGTTCTTGAAAAAAAAATAAATTGAATTGACGGAGATTTCAGTTTTAAGGGAAGACTCTTTCATTCTAATACAAATTTATAATTCCCAACAGTAAGGGTTGTGCTTTTATAGGATTGCCTATGCATAGTTTTACTTAAATGCAACAAATTTTCTGTGCCGATATATATTATGAAATCGAAGGTTAGAATAAGTAAAATTAATCTTTTTGTTTTTCCTAGTTAACTCTTCAAAAAAATGCAACTATCTAATATACAAATATTTGCGCAGGTGGAAGTTTGACAGTGCAGATAATGGGAGCAAGGTCAGGCTCTTCATCAAGTGAATGTAAAAGCAGGGAAGTCAAAAGCAATGAAATTACGGTTTCAGATAAGCTAAACAATTTTACTGCTTCTACAGTTGTTGACAAAAGAGAAGATCCGTGTAACTTTTAATAAAAAAGTGACTGTAACACATTAATAACTTAGAAATTGAACTGGTACTTAGAAAGCTCTGAGCACCGACTATTTTGGCAATTATTAAGGCCTTTTTTTTTGTGAGAAATGCTATAGGTACATAATATTGTACATAGTGGTATACATAACACTCACATTGAGTGAGACCGACAAAAGATAAACAATCAAGTGGACTCCACTCCATGTGAGTGTTATGTACACCTCTATGTACATTTATTATGTACTTGTAGCATATTTCTTTGTTTTGTCGTCTATTCTGCATGTGTAGTAGGCTAGTCTTGTGAAGAAAAAAAAGTTGTGATGAATATTTGGTATTTAGAAATATTGATCTTTTGTCCAAAATAATTTCACCAACGTTGGCGAAATTGCCTTATGTGCATGAGTAAATTCAAAGACTATAATGTGAGCTCTATGTAAACAAGTGCTAATGAATGCAGAATGGATTGGACAATGAAGCTGCTATGAGCAGAGCCGGTCCTTAACTTCATAAGACCCTGGACGAAAACATAATGTTACTAGCTACAATGAAAGTTTTGAAATTTAAAATATAATTATAAAAATAAGAAATGATAAGGAGGGAAAACTATTTTGTTTTATTAAAAACAAAAAATAAACGTTAAAAACCTAAACTTTTCCTTTACTTAAATATATATTTTATGTTAATTTGAATATATAATATTCAATTAAAATTTATATTTTTGTCAGAAAAGTAAAAAATTATTAGTTTTTTTTTTTCCAAAACGATAGTGGTACTATATTAATAAAAATCGCACAACGTGCGAAGAGAAGCAGCCAAAGGCTGAATAATACAACCGTTGACTGAAAAAATGGGAAGCAGATCCAAAGATCGCTTAAAGCCTAACCTAGCAACGCTAGAATAACAAAGCTCACAACTACTCCAGCCAACTACACCAACAAAAACTAAAAAACTAAAAAAGCTCCCAATAGGAGAATACCTGAGTGTCAGATCACAACAGGATAATAAATTTGAAACTCAGGCGCACAGAAGCCAATAGCCCAAACAAAAAACACGATACCTAAAAAACGAGAACAAGTAACAACAACCTAAACTATAAGAGAACCTAACAATACAAAATAACAAAAACATAAACACTGAAAGAAAGCCCTCCTCAACAACAGGAAGAAACTCCGCAACAACCCCACTATCGAAACCGAGGGTTCCCACCCAAGGAGAGCAGATTGTGCCAGGAACCGAGACCTGAAACTGCAACAAAGCCTAACAAGATCCCGTACTCCAGCCACTAGACTCTTCCAAGTAGACACCCCACTAACCAGTCAAGGGAGGTCAGCCCAAGAACCACTCCACCACTCCGAACCGCAGCCCAAAACCAACCGTTTACCAAAGTCCTCGACCATAACCGTCAGCACAGCCGCCTTCCAGCCATCGGAACGCCCGAAATTCATTCAGCAACGCCACTGCCTTGCCACGACTAACACCACTAGCTGGACGACCAAAACTCCAACCTCCCCTGACCCAACACCAGAGTACAGGGGAGAAAAGGGACAGAACCGAGGCACAACTCCAGCCACCACCACAAAATCGTAGCGAAACGGCCAAGCCATGCCCCGCCCGCTGAAACACCCCTCGAACCAGCCTCTGCGAACAAAGGCAAAGGACACAAGAGGAGCCACAACGACTGGAGTTCGAGCAACCAAAAACCAACACCACCGCCGGCAACAGGAAGAGCCGCCTCTGGCAACCACTAGCCTTGGCTACGACGGTCACGCTGACCAACCCAGGAAAGTAAGACAAGGGGGGAGAGAGGAACTGACCTCGACTCCATCTTCCAACCGGCATAAGGTAGAGGTTGCCGCACAGTCCCACCGCCGTGAATCGGGAAGCTCTGCGCCTTCGGTTGTCCGCCATAGAGAGATACCATCCTGCGAAGCTCCAATCAGACGCGAAGTCCCCACCATAGCGTGAGGCTGGGGGCCCTGACCTGCGGAGACCATGACACGGCCGAGCAAAGCTCCCATCAAGAAGAGGCAAGCGATGAACGGCGAAAAACTTGGTTTTATTGTAGAGAATTTGGGGAAATCGCGCGCAGAGAGAGAGTGAATCTTTATTGGCGAAAAATTATTAGTTTGATATCTATGAAAATTAAATAACGATAAATTAAAACTCTTTTTAAAATAAGTTGATTGCAATTGACTATTCTAATGACTATTAGTAAATTATATAATTTTACCTCACGATATAGCATTTTATATATTCAAGCAAGACAAAAAAAAAAAAAAANNAAAAAAAAAAAAAAAAAAATGAATGAAAATAATATAAAAAAAGTATGTAAAAGATAAAAATTTTACTACTAATAAATAATAATTAACTTTCAAATTCGAAAAAACAATAATATTAATGAATTAAAAAAAACTATCAAAATTGTTTTTTATATAAATAATATATATATATATATATATCAATAATTAAGGGGGGTGTATTCAATTTAAATTTTACGTGACATTTTAAGACTTTTTAAGATTTGAGAGTTTTGAAGATTCAGATTTTAGCAGAATTCGGTGAAATCTTAGGTGTGGAGGTAGGAAGTGGGATTTCGTATAAGGTTTTTTGTTTTGAAATCCCATCAAATCTTAGAAAGTCTTAAAAATTCTTAGTGTCAAATAAATTAAATATATCTCAAAATTTTGTAAGACTTTTTAAAATCCAAATTGAATATCTCAGGATTTTTAAAAGTCTTAACAAATCTGAATTGAATACACCATAATTTCGAAAGTCTTAAAAAATCTTTAGAAATCTCAATTGAATACATCCACAAATAATAATTGGCCCTCAGATAAATGGAGGCTATGGGCGGTCGCCTGACCCGCCTTTCCCTAGGGTCGACTCTAGCGATGAGACTTAATTCTCAATCAAGGGTTCCTCGTGGAAAACATGACTAAAGCTCATTCCTGGAAAATTCAATCCGGCCCGTTACGGCAGTGCAATCAACTTCTAGGGATAGGGGCTGTTTATTTACATGAACACAAATCACTGGCCCTTAGAAGGCGACTAGCACTGCCCCTAGGGACATGATCGAATTTCCAGCCCGATCCCATAAAGCTCCATGTAACTATTTAGTTTGCATACTATAGCACTAGTTAAGCATTTCCTCCACAGTGAGTACTTAATACAAAAA